GGGGGGGGGGGGGGGAGTTCTTACAATATACTTTTTGATAACAGACAATATACATAACCTACATCTACATTAGATTAATTAATCAATGAAGCTAACTTTTAAAGTTAGAAATAACACTGATTAAGCTTGCTTTTTGTGTTAGAAATGGTTTGCTCCCAAAACTATTCTGCATGTTTATAGCCAAGAAATAATCTGAATTCATGAGCTAATCTATGCTCTTTTCCATTCACTTTTCAAGCAGTCTGCATTGTAGGTTCACACCAAGTCTGGAATTAAGTTCTGTAGCATTTATCCCAAACCATCAGAAACTATTTTCTGCGTACAGAATCTGAAACCATGTTAACCCTTAAGATATCTCATCATCATCATATTTTGTTTCTCTTCCTTTTACCTTCAGTTGCTTCTGATGAGAGAAACACTGTTTTTCTATTTGTTGGATGTTGGAGTACTTTCAGTGGTCTAAATCCTGGTGAAGCTTTAATAATAGAGCAGATTTCTGGTGGGCTATATAAACACTGAGTGAAATGGAAGAACATTACTCATTCATATAACATGGAATAGTTTTCAGAACATTAAATTTATGGGTAAGCATTGTATGTATAATCTTTGGGTTCTTGTGCTCACACTCCTCTGTCCTCTTCTAAAGTGGATATGAGGAGATCAAAACCACTTCCTTTCATTTTTAAACAAGCAGTTATGTCTTGTGAATATTCTAGTTAGTTTAAACTAGGAATGTGCAATCTCTTTCAGAGCAAAGGCTGTACTCAGATTCTGCATTTCCTGAACAAAAAAATAGGACAGATCAAAACAAAAACTAAATTTAATTTTAAAAATTAAGTATAGTTAATATTATTACCTCCCAAGTATCCAATAACTTCTCTCTTCCTACATATATAATAATTTCTCCAATTATTGGAAAAGTTTTGGGGGCACAGGTTGTATAGTCCAGTTTAAATGATGGTTTGCTAGGAAGCCAAATCAAATAATGCTTTGATCCTGACATCTTTGAATAAATTATAGCTTAAAATGAACATGGTTCCTTCAAGTTTGGATGTAATGATAATTCTGAAAGATCTCCATTTAAACCCTTGAGCCCATGCCAGAGGGAAAAGGGGAAGTACATAAACCAGAAGCTTGCTGTGATTACACAAGACTAATGCAGAGTTTTGACAATATGTCAGAAAGGAGCCATATAGAGCTGTCAACCTATTTGAACTCTCCTACGTGGATTCAGTATAAAACATACTTTCCTTCCCCTGATACAGCTTTGGAGGGAAAAGGATTCTACAAATTGGCAGCAAATTTGGCTATTAATTTTATAAGTGTTTTTACAATCCATTAGAGAAAAAAAAGTGACACTTGAAAATATGTATGTATTAAAACAAAAAAAACAGCCCAAATAAAGGAGGAAGGAGGGTAATATTAATAGTTGACTCAGAACATACAGGTAGTCCTCAATTTATGACCATCCATTTAACAACTGTTCAAAGTTGTTCAGTGGCACTGAAAAAAGTAACTTACGACTGGTCCGCACCCTTACAACTGTCACAGCATCTGTGCAGTTACATGATCAAATTTTGGGTGCTTGGCCACTGGCATGTATTTATGAAGATTGCAGCATCCCAGGGTCACGTGATCACCATTTGCGACCTTCCCGGGGGACTTCTGACAAGCAAAGTCAATGGGCAAAGCCTGATTCACTTAACCACCGTGTGATTTGCTTAACAACTGCAGTGATTCACTTAAGGACTGCAGCAAAAAAGGTCATAAAATCAGGCGTGACTCACTTAACAGCTGCATCACTTAGCAACAGAAGATCCGGTCCCAACTGTGGTCATAAGTTGAAGACTACCTGTATATCCTTCATCTAAAGTGTAAAACCAAAAGGAAATCAGGCTTAAGAATATATTGCATTTTCACATTTTGGAGACAGAGAATTTTGAAATCATTTGAAATCCTATCCCATTCTACCTTGATGTTTTAAACGCCAGAGCAATTTAATTTAATATTGAATCAGAAGAAAAGGTAAATAAACATATAACCTGATGAATGGTCCTTTGGGGAGATAGAGGAACAATCGCTTCTGAATTCACCTTTGGACTATTTTTGTATACCAAACAGTTGTCATGGACTGAGGCTTCATGCACAGACAACAAGTCTAACTGTACCAAAGAAAAATAAAAATGCAAGGGGTTATTCTTAATCCAGAGGGTGTATTTCTCAGGAAATTATTCCTTGACCTTCATTCTATATGTGTAGCTTGTCTGGACTATCAAGAAAAAACAGCCTTCCTTTTGTCAGAATACTGCTGTAATACATCATACAAAACTGTCTTCTCATAGACACCATTATGGCTCAAGATCAACAAAGTAATTTTTCACCAAGTAGATATTTGCATGATACTTTTGTGAACTGGACAAACTGGACAAACAAAAATATCTGGGAATCTCTAGATATAATTTTCAGTCTTAAGGTGCATCTCAGCTACTGATAATTCATAATGTACAGAAAGCAATCTTTTATTCACTTTTGGTTGAGTTTTTGTTAAAAGTCATGCAGATTAAAAACTCTTCGGTTGATAGTCATTTCATATCAATCCTTATTTCTCAAGCCTAAACTGTCAAGCAAGTATAGACAATTTTTGCCAGAAGTAACAATGCTCAAAGGATATTAATGCATTTGCAGTTTAAATTGGCTTATTTTAAAAAAAAACTTTACATTTATTTACTTATTAAGATCTGTTTTTCTGAAAATATTACTAAGTGGTACACTACAAAGAAACATTTACACTGTTATATATCAAATAAAATAGTGGTTATTTTAGCCAGAATGTCTGGTGCTATGAAGGGACTTTAACATAAAATTTCCAGGGGAGTTTGTAAAATAGGCACACAATAAAAACAAAACCTCATTTAGTAGCAAAGAAATAAAGATGTTTATTTATGTATTCAGTTAATACCCTGCCTTTGGACTCAATCAAATATTTAAGGTTAGAAACATGTTCTAGATAAGTGTCCTACTGTATCTGCAATATTATTATTTTCTGCAATAGAAAATATGTCAATATTCTGCAAGTTGGATCCCATTGATCAAAGAATTCCAGATTCATGTACCCACATGTAAAAGACCTAGATTTTTTGATAAGATGAATTTAGTATCTCTATATATATAAAATGGGGAAGCATGGAAAGCCAAATGAGCAAGCTTGCATTCACAAAACTGTGGAGGGGGCCTTGACCTTTGTATTCAGGGTTGAATAAGAAAGCCTTGACTGATTTTGAGGGTGCTCATCCCATTGAGTCTTTTTCCTGAAACAGATGGATAAAGGCATTCTCATTCTCAGTGTCGAGGTGCCAAATGACTCACAGCTGTCAATTTTCTGCTATTATGTCAGGATTTCTTACTGCAGGGTTCAACATGGTTTATATAGCTTCTTTTTTCCTTTCAATCATACATTCAACCTTCACCGTGGCCTTCAGGGGGTGGACCCAGGCAGTAGGTGAATCCAGGCAGGGGGTGAACCCAGCATACCATGTCAGCATCTGGTGGCTTGGATGCTACAATCCCACACATTTTCTTCAAATTGCTTTTTCTAGTTGAATGCAGTACATGAGGGGAGGAGAAAGAACATACATTTCCAAATTTTATTTTTTTTCTATACTTCCTTTTGACGGGTTGCTGATCCTCAGCCTATCATAAGAAATTTGTATCAGTATAAAATCAGCAGTAGTAAAAAAACATACTTACATTTAAAAAACAATGTAAACAAAGCATTTTGCATATTTAATTTCATTTTCACAAACATAACAAATTACATGGTAGAGGTTACCTTTATTTATTTATTTATTTATTTAAATTTATATGCTGCCCATCTCCCCCAGAGGATGACTCTGGATGGCTCACAATTAAAATCAAACATTAAAAACAGTAAAAATATAAATATCCATATTAAATTCGCTAAAAAATACTATATAAAAAGACTATACACATAAAAAGACTAAACAACTGCATGCATTCAAAATATTTTAAAGCTACTATTTAATGAAAATAATTATTAAAAAAAACATTTAAATGGGTTTTCTTATCTATAATTTATAAGCAATCTGAAATAACTGAGCAAAAGCAATTGTGTGAACCCGACTAAAGCTAAAACTACATTACAGTTTTTAAAAAGTATACTTTTTTTTCATCCAGCTTTTTTTTTCCCCTCAAAAGAATGAGGCCTGATTGGGGATGTACAGACGCTGTCCAACATGGTTGCTATTAGCAAGCGGAATTGATGGTGACAAGGGATAGGACGCTGTCCAACATGGTTGCTATTAGCAAGCGGAATTGATGGTGACAAGGGATAGGACGCTGTCCAACATGGTTGCTATTAGCAAGCGGAATTGATGGTGACAAGGGATAGGACGCTGTCCAACATGGTTGCTATTAGCAAGCGGAATTGATGGTGACAAGGGATAGCTTGGATAAGAATATGGTCTTGATGTATATGGTAAAACGCTGGCTGAAGAAAGCGTAGCACTAACAGGAAAAAATGTTATTTACTGAACTTTGATGGAAATTATAATCCAAGGGCACAAGTGCAAACTGTGCTGCTAGTTCTTTTGCATCTTCTACAGTTGTGCAGAGTTTGCCTGGCATAAAATAACTCTGAGATCCATTTGCAACCATTGGAATAACAATCTTACATACCAGCAATTTTTTCCATCTTGATTTGTAGTTGAATACAAATAATATTCTGGAGCCACCCAATTATTTTTGTTGCAATAATAACATAACTGCATCACTGCAGAACTAAAATGACCAGATTTTAAAGAGTACATGCTAACTGGAGTATGTTTTGTTTCTGGGAAAAATGAGTAAGTACACCTTTCAATTTCAGGAGGACTTGGACTGTTCTGCCCATTAAGGCATATTGGAAGAGTTGCTGGCTTTGTTAGTGATTTCTGATGACCATCTTCTTTGTTTGTAAAAACTAAAAGATTTTCAGAACTGGGGCTAATTTGACCATTAATATGTTGTGTCCAAGTGCTTTCTTTGTTTATTGGCTTGACTAGTGCTACCTCAATGCTAGCACCATCAACCATCAATGCTAGCACCATACATTTATTTTCCCACTATTGTAAAGAACAGATGTTATGGAGAAAATAGATCTAACAAACAAAATGGAGACTGCTTCCTTTTTCCTCCAGTTTTTGGACATGACCAGGGTCAACCCACCTCTTCTCTTTGCCTACTCCTATCAGACCCAAACTGACCCTACCTGCCCCCAGCCAATCCCATCTAAACCAAAGAATAGAAGCCTCCTCACCCACTCACAGTATAGCCCAAGGGCAACCCTCTCAAGGAAACTGCAAACTAGAAACACCCAACCTTCCATCCTCAATCAGCCTGATGACCTCAACATTCCTTCTCCTTTAACCCTAACATTTCTATTGTTAGCCAAAGCAGCCTTTTCAGGAGAGGCAACTGAGCTGGAGAAGTCCACCCAGGTACACAGACAAGGACCTGCCTAGCTTCCCCAAAACTGTCCAGCAAATCAAATCCCAGGGATTTCCCGTCTTGTAGCCCTCAACTTCTATAAAAATTTTTGCTTTTCCATTGTTTGGAGTTCCTCTTTCTGGTAAAGCAGACACACAACAATCATTGCAATAAAGCTTGATTCTTCTCTTCAGCATTGCGCTCTGTACTTCTGAATTTTCCATGACAAGGAAAACTTCGTTTCCTTAAGATCCTCTAATAAGTCCATGAAAACAGAAGAGAAAGATGTATACTGTATAAAGGATTTCCTCCCTTATAAGCCTTGTCCCCATTTAGTGTCCAGTGGAATCATAACATCATGACAACTTCAATCGTCCCCTCTGATTACATGGTGTTGACCTCATCAGACCCCCAGCCAAACAGCCTTATGTAAAAATAGAAGTTTTTCCCCTAAATCTGACAGCATTTCATCTCAGTTCCAGTATGTGCAAAATTGGTAATTCTTTGCTGCTCCTTATCATGGAGGCAAGGTCTGGTAACCTGTTGTAAGTTTACCCAGAAATGGGTTTTAGGCAAGTATGGGCGGTGCAGGCATGCCTCTCTCCTTTGGTCACTATCTAGCTTCCACTGCAACCATTTCTGTCCCAGTTGCCATCTCAATTAGCCCATTTTTCGAGTTTCTTTTGTATCTATGACCTCCCACTCTCCACTTTTTTTAAAAAACCAACTTCTCTCCACAGATTTCCAGCCAGGCACAGGAGAACTGAAGAGAATCCTGCTATTTTATTCAAGAAAGAAGGGGCATATTTGTACAACTCTTCATTTGCACTAAAATGGTACTCCCAGTTTTCCTCCCTGCCAATGTCCCCAAAATAATGTGGGATGTCCAGCAGGCTTTTGCCACCTTCAATCCCTCTGCCCTCTCCCCAAATAAGAGAGTCCAGCAGCTAATCAGTTTTAGTCATCCAGCTCAACAGGTTGTACTTAGTGGCACAATCTTGGCAGGGTCTGTGTTCCTCCTCTCTTTGGGTATTTCTGCCTCAGTGTTTAGTTGTTACACCACACTTGGCTCTTGGATCATGTTAAAGGAGGAATGGCCTATTTATAAATTTCATACTTCAAGATTTCTATGGAACAATTGCCAGAAGATGATCAGCCAAACCATTAAAGACTTCAGTGTTATTCTCTGTTTATATGCTTGATCGTGTTCTGTTCCTTGAAAACATGGTAAGCATATAAAATAATCTCAGCAGAGAATATGACCAATCATAATACAAGACCCTAGCACATAAGCAAAAAATGGCTGTCAATCAACTAAGAAGTCATATAGAAACAAAATGAGGTGAGGGAGAGGCAAATATCATAAACACTAAAATACACTGACTCAAAATTCCTATCCAGACTGTTTAGTCACAGACAAAGTGCCCAGATTCCCCAGAGAGGAAGAGATTTCATATTTTGCAAAGAAATAATATAAGAACAACAATAGTGTATTACAAGCGTATGAAGAGAAAGGTTTGCTGCTGCTTTAAACCTACCGGAATTTTTATTTAATTGAATTACGATGTGGTATTCTAATTCTGCTATGGTTTTTCCAGTAGTAATGTATGGCTGTGAGAGCTGGACCATAAAGAAGGCTGAGCGCTGAAGAACTGATGCCTTTGAACT